AAGAAAGAATGAATAAATGAGAGAAAGAAAGAAAGAAACCGACATAACGAATGAAAAAAGTAATAAAGAAAAAGGGAAGGTAAAAAAATAAAGAAAGAAAGAAAACACGCAGCGAAAGAAATGATGTTGAAAGAATGAAAGATCGGGAAAAAAACGAAACGTTAGTTAAAAGGAAGGAAAAAAAAGGAAAATTCGAGAAAGAAAGAAATAAAAAAAATGAAGGAAAAACAGAGAAAGAAAAAGATAGGAATGAATACATAAAAAAAAGACGATGGTAAAGAAAGAAAAATTAGATGAAGAAAGAAAAAATAGATAAAGAAAGAAAGAAAGTCGAATGGGAGAAAACAATAGAACATTAACAGAAAAAAAAGACAAATGAAAATCTTTGAGTCTTGTTCTATGAAATATATTTCTAGGACTTTCAAACCGAATTCTTCATAAAATGTGGAAGTTAAAGGAACTTAGGAATATTTGTTGAGTCCCATTTTCCATTAATTTGATTAATGATTTGCGTTAATTACTTTCATATTCACTAATGCTTTATATATTGTTTTCTCATTGGCCTGTCGAATTAATCATATAAAAATGAATAATAGCATTGCTTTTAAAATACTGACACGTCAACATAGCCAAAAATATATTCATTTGTCATTTAATTTGTTAAAACTTGAAATATTTTAATGGTCTTTTAGAATGCCATGTAGAAAAAACAAGAAAAGGACATTTTTCAATGCTTGCTTGCTTTAGAGGATCTCGTACATGTTTATTATTAATGCTGGGAATTTTACGCGTGGTAAATTATAATAGACAAAAATAACGTTTACACATTCACTATATATAACCAGATTTTTTTTTAACCATTTCACCCCAATCAAGGCGGGAGTTCCACTAGCACGCAAGAGGTCACAGAGAGTGGGAGCAAGAGTAAAGAAGCAGAAAAGAGGAAAGGATAAAGAGAAGGACGAGGAATTAGATGTTTGTTTAGTCATGGCACAGTGATATATATGTTTTATGTTGTAGTTTTGTTGAAGTTATATTTTGGGATACAGTTTGATTTCTTTAAGGAATTCTAGGATATTATATGGATTAATGTAATTCTTTCATATTGATTGATACATTAATGTTAACTTTACTATAAATAGGTAATGCTGGTAATTTTTATATACAAATGTATGGTTGGTATTTTTACGATAAAACATTATTTTTATACTTTCATAAGGTTTTTATTTTTGTTGGGGGTGACTATTTTCTCATATCAGATCAAGGCATCTGAAGTTTTCAATTGACATTGCATTTGAATATTTGGAGATGATAGCTATCAGGGAAGCAAGTGAAAGGAAGTGCGGAACATGAAGCTATTGGAGTAGAAGAGACGGCTATATTTAACAGCTTCGACAGTAAAAGGATGGCACTAAGATGCCAATCTAGTAGCCCGTTTAAATTCATGTAGTTCGGGAACTATCGAAAGTAGCTCGACGGAGTGGCTACCGTGAAAGTATTTGTAGAAAAGACAGATTGAAGCGACGGCACGTCTGTGAGAAAGTGACTATAGACGAGATGCTAGATCCGGACCAATTACATTGCATATCCGTCTCTGGATTTTGTCGAGGACATTGAGACGAACAGACGGTGGGTACAGATCATATATTTCAGCAGTATTCCATGCCACCAATATTACAAAGGTATCACGAAAATAGCAGTTGAAAGGCGGTATAACAATCATCCTAACAAACTGCAGATGTTCGAGGGGAAATGATCTAGTTATTGCGAACCGGGACTCTATACGGATTCAGTTTGTAGGTTCTGGTTAATCAGAACACATTAAAATTACACGAGGACTGTCCCCGGTAAGCAACATGCTATCATCATTTGTTAACGTAATTTTGAAACGCAAAGTAAGACGTAAGAACTAAAAGAATTTAATAACAATTTTATTATATTTTAAAAGCTTTCATTATTATTAAAAAATAATTATAATTAAAAAATTAAATTAAAAAAAAACGGGAATACTTTTTTCTGTTAACGTTGTATAATTTGAGTGAATGTTAGCCATTGGTCTCAAAAGGCCATGGATCTATTCCTGGGGATTTTTGATTCAGCTACTGGTTTTAGCGATACGTGTTCTGTGGGAGTATAAACCCACACCTGAGATTGTATTTAAGGACAGTCTCATCCAACATCGATTTGTTGGTACCTTCCCTTCGGTTGCGTTTTTCCTCCAATCGTTAATCTCTCATCTCCTCACTGAAGTCCTCTGTGTTTCCCGTGTCCGGCGAGGGCGAACGTTCTCAATGTCCTCCCAATTCATGACGTTCAGGTCAAGTGACGCCATATTTCTTTTTTTTAGGTAAATTTGAAACGAAGATGGTGGCATTCTCTCAAAGACTGTCACTGACATATAAACAGGAAGTGACCGCAGCTGAATTTAAGATATGCGCACGTAAATCAGGAAGAAATATAAACGCTCGAATCACAAGGGAGAGATCAGAGAATCATCCATATGCTCGCGAGAAGAAGACTAAATTTTCAAAGAAAGGCTCAACGCCACATATACTAAACGGGTGAAGTTAATTTGATGTATTTTAGAATTAAATAAAAAATATTACGTACTAGCAGCATGGCCCGGCGTTGCCCGTGCTTGATTCAAAAATCGTACGACTCATACAGCAATCGCTATCACTTGACTTAAAATATTTTTGCCTTTCCTTGTCTTTAAAGAAGTGCCCTTTGCCGTGCTGATGTTGCTACATGCCTTACTTCTTGCCTATCTCACACTGCGAATTTTTTCTAAGCTCTATACTAAACATTAAATCTGTTACGAAAAAAGAACTAAACAAAATGAACACAAAACGATCAGCTTTAAAAAAGGACTCGTAACTGGAAAAACCGAATGAAAAAAGAATGTTAACAACAAATACTTTTTCACACCCAAGCCAGTTCAGAATCAACGTTGAGTTTAAGCAAGCGAATGAGCCAATTGGAGTAAAGTGCCATGGAGATTTAAATTTTTCCCACTTGTGACGAATGCAGGTATCGATTTTTTTTAATGCTAGCATGCTAGGTAACATTCGTGTCAGACAGATGTTGGCTCTCACGCAGGCCAATAGAATCTTCTTGCCTATTCGTGGCAGCCAGCTATAGGCTTTCACTCTGGCCAGTACAAAATGGCCGCAAACTACATGACAACTGCCGTAGACGCATGAAAAAATCGATTATTTTCACTATCGATAGGAGTTGGGAAATGCAAAGTCGGTCTTGGCCTTTCTACTAACTGGGAGCATGTGCATGTAAATTTTGGTGCAAATCCGTCGAAAATTGCGGCCGTGCATTCGTTACACACACACACCCTACCTTTTAAAGATAGAGATGAAAGATTCAGTCTTCTCATCTTGTCAGTTGTGACTAACATAACATTAAAAGTTCCTCACTAAAATTCTTTTGTGCGAGATTAACTAAAATTTTGTTGGCTGGATTTGTTTAGCATCATATCAGCCTCTATGGGTTATTTAATGCCGGAATATGAATGATTCGTACACTATTTATTTTTGGGAGATAATAATGCTTTTAGTTATAGAATTCTTACTTATTAACCCACAGATGGGGGTGAAGTGACGGATTCAGACATTTCCAAGGGCATTTGCGTGGAAGAGAATATAACGAACTCAACTGGAATTAGAACACGGCTCTCCGATTAACAAATCCGTGTCGTTATCCATTGCCTACCCGCTACATCCAACTTTACAGCACCTGGGATTTCCAAGCGGTTACTCAATTAGATACTGACCAGGCCCGACTTTGCTTAACTTCTATAATCGAACGTGAACAGTTGTTTCAACGTGATATGGCCGTAAGTTTCTAAACTTTGCTTTTAATATCTAACTGGATAAATAGCTGTCATGTGTTACTATGTATATTAATAAATATGGCGGTTTTCTTCGATACATCCTTTTGAAGTTTGTACTGACAATTCCTCGATAGAATTATCTTCTCTAAAACTAAAAGGAAGAAAGAAAAATGGTACGCTGCACTGCACGTAGTTTCAATTGGGCGTAATCATCGGGATTCGGGCTAAGAACAAAATTGTGTTGCATCGTAATGATCAATACAGCATGGATATATATTCAAAAGAGCATGACACCTTTTATATTGAGAAGTCTGTCTGAAATCTTCTCGGCTGCAGAGTAAGAATCCTATGCATTTACATGTCTGACAACTGCTTACGGATCACCATATTCATATCCATACGCAAGTACGTCGTAGGATTCTCCCCGACGGAAGCATCGAGAGTGAGAAGTTAGATTTCGACTAGAATTTAACACCAGATTATCTAGACCGTATCTCATAGCATCCATAGAAGAAAGGAAGATCATCATTTACCCATGTCTATCTACCATAGTAGAAGCAACACACAAAATGTAGATGTTTACACATTGACTATTGAAAATCAATCAATATGTGTGCGTGTTCAGGGACCAATATGTTCGGGGTTGGCAGTTTATTTTTTATACAGTGCCCATCTCTTGTCAGATGACGCTGAATACAGGAAGAGCAAATGCGCTGTTGTCAAATGTTTCCCACTTTATCCACTAATGTATTAATAAGAGGGCATACGACAATTAAAAACCAAACAAAAACAGACTAAGTATATTTTTGTTATCCACTTGCATCATATAAGGAAACTACAGCGATATTTATTCTCTCTTTCTCACCGTATATATATATATATATATATATATATATATATATATATATATATATATATATATATATATATATGAAGAAATATAGTCTTAAGGTGTGCTATATTTATGAGATAAAGTGCTCAATATCAGAGAAGGGCGCGTGTAAATATAAAGTGAACATAGAAGTCAACACTTAGAGGCGACAGTCTGTTTCATGCTATATGTAATCGTCAGACCACGTATATATGCAGAGCACACGTGGCCTGACGATTGCATATAGCATGAAACAGACTGTCGCCTCTAAGTGTTGATTTCTATGTTCACTTTTTATATATATATATATATATATATGCATGTTTCGTTAAAAACGACAGACAAGGTACTACAGTTGAGCTTTTTATTTAATTTTTCTTGTGTTCTGACAAGAGCTTTCTTTTCTGGACAAAAGTGTGTAAGAACTGTCCGAATGTTCTGTTTTCCGAGCGCTTTCGGCTATACTTTTAGCCATTATCAAGGATGGTTCAATGATGGATATTCATTATCAAGTAGAGTGTGTGTTCTATGTATGTTCAGTGTGTGGTAGTGATGTTTTAGTTTCCGAATACAGTTAGCACATTGTGGCTTTGTTCATAATTGATATTGTTAAGAGTTGGCTTTTTCTTTTTATTATTAGAGCTTCCATTATTTTTAGTCTTTTTTTTCAAGTGGATGCACTTAATATATTAGTGTTTTCTACTAGTATGTTCCTAATAGTGTCGGGTAAATCTGAGTGTGTGTTTAAATGTGTTCTGATGGAACTGTGATCAGATAGGTGTAATGTAAGACGTCTGGATAAAAAGCCGATGTAATTATTTATGAGTCTGGTTTGGTGCGGAACGCAGTTCCTTAAAGGGCATTTGAACTCATAGATAATGTTCGCTCTTTTGTAATTTTGAACATAACCACATGTTTATCCAGACGTCTTACATTACACCTATCTGATGAAGTTCCATCAGAACACATTTAAACACACACTCATATTTACCTGAAAGTATTAGGAAAATACTAGTAGAAAAAACTAATATATTACTGCATCCACTTCGGAAAAAAGACTAAAAATAATGGAAGCTTTTAATAAAAAAAGAAAAGCCAACTTAACAATATCAATTATGAACAAACACAAGCTAAAAATTAAATAAAACAGCTACAACATTGAACATACATAGTCTGTCGTTTGATAATGAAACATTGAGCCATCCTTGATAATGGCTAAAAGTATAGCCGAAAGCGCTCGGAAAAAAGAATTCGGACAGTTCTTACACACTCTTTGTCCAGAAAAGAAATTAGAAAACAAGAAAAAACACAAGAAAAATAAATATATATATATATATGTCGTTTTTAATGAAATATGCATAAAATACTGCCTAATTACACAAATATATATATATATATATATATATATGTATATATTCGACTCTCTCTGTCGAGTATATATATATATATATATATTCGATTCTCTCTGTCGAGTATATATGCATATATATATATATATACTCGATTCTCTCTGTCGAGTATATATGCATATATATATATATATATATATATATACTCGACTCTCTCTGTCGAATTCGACGTATGAGGCCCAAGCTGATCAGTTCCAAGGAAACCGACAGCCCGACACCAGCACTTGAGATTTGATTATAGATGTGGAGGTTTTGTATAGAACCATCCACATTTTATACGGAGACCTGGTGCACTATGTGCCACCAGGTCCCTAAACGGCCCTCTGCCGGTTTTGAATTCAGAGTTGTACTCCTTCTAGAACCCAGTCTGTTCTGCTATTTACCCATAGCTGGAGAAGAAGATTATCAATACCTTAACCAAAAGGAAGTTAATGTAATGGATTCGACTGGCTCTGCCAAACCTCAATCACGGCCGCTATCCATTACTCTACATTATTAATAGAATCCACTTGGATTATATACCAACGGAATTTTACCTTTACTATATATATATATATATATATATATATATATATATATATATATATATATATTAATATTAGTAGTAAATATACACATTCATATGCAATCATATATCTAAAATATGTAAATATATATACATACATACATACACATACGTATATATTTGTATAAAAAATAATTCCAAGAGGATAGAATCCAGGTAGAACTCAATGTCCAGGACAGAGTAAGGATATAATAAAAAGGCTTAAACACTCATATTCCATGGTCATAATTTATTCCATTGGAATCGTAAATACGATCCAATTCATCAGACCTACAAATTCAAAAAAAAAAAAAAAAGAAAAAACAACTCCGGGAATAAAAAATAAAATTTAGGGAGAGTGTATGTATTAGAGTGTGGGACGAATGTTAAAGTAAATGAAAGCTATAGAGAGGGGTAACAGACGGGCGCTTTTAGTTTATCGGTATACCAAAGTACTATCAAAATCAAATAGTAAAAACAGATGTATGGCCCCTGAACAAATTATCCTACGCTAAATACACCCATCAATAAATAAAAACAATTATAACTTAACATCCGACCTCCGCCACACACACACACACATATATATTCAATAAATTACAGATATTATGTCTGCTTATTTTTTTCTTTGAATTTTTAACCTATGTTTAGATTCCGATATGTTAGCATTTTCTTTTAGTCTATTTAGAATTTATTTAAGCTGTTCAGATATGGTAGTCCTTTTTAGGTGATACGTAACACACTAAGAAACAACTACCACTACTGAACAGCATAAACACATTCTAAATAGAGTAAAATAAATTACTGATCAGAATGTCAGCATAGGTTAAGTATTCAAAGAAAACACAATACATTATATAAAGTAACTATATAACTCCCGAATAACTATGAAAGATTTATGAACATCTCTGACTATGATTTAACTGACAACCGAAAAGAATAAACCGATTTTATTAAAAATAAGCAGACATAAAATCTGTAATTTATTTAATCAAACAAGCCTAAAAGAGATGTTGCTGCCTAAATACACAAAACACATACACACACATATTCGCTTGAGGATGAAATGGAACTAATGTTTTTAATTTAATTACAAAATTAAATTTGAAGCTTTTAGCTTATATTTTTGAAACATGGTTATTACTGTGTAGCGAAAAACATTTTAAATCAGTTAATTTATAATATTAATGCTCTGTAAATTTACATTGAGCACTATTTTGTAAAAATAAAAATAAAAATATCAATAAGAACACCGGATTATATAGATTATTGTTCTTTATATATATATATATATATATATATATATATATATATATTTATTAAAAGACATTTTTATATTTAACGTTCTTTTTTATAGATACAAGTATTTAAGTAAATGCTCTGTTTATAATAAACAGTATTAAATAACATTTACCGGCCTGAATGTCAAGAAATTTTCATAGAAAATATTCGTCCTTTGACAGGATTCGAACCTGCATCCTATACGGAACCGTCATGGCCGAGTCGGTTAAGGCACGTTAGCGTAAATGACGGTTCCGTATAGGATGCAGGTTCGAATCCTGTCAAAGGACGAATACTTTCTATGAAAATTTCTCGGACATTCAGGCCGGTAAATGTTATTTAATACTGTTTATTATAAACAGAGCATTTACTTAAATACTTGTATCTATAAAAAAGAACGTTAAACATAAAAATGTCTTTAATAAATAAATTGTCGGACTTTGTCCATTTCTTAATATATATATATATATATATATATATATATAAATGTAAAAGACAATAGGAAAACTGTAATATTAGCCGACGCGTTTCGTCCAATGTGGACTTTTACAAGGCAAAAACGAAATGAATTTATTAAAATAAAGTAACTAACAAAACAAAATGTCCTTAGTTACTCTGTTTTAATTCGAGGACACTGCACAAAGAAAATTAGAAGAAAGAAAAGCAGGCTGAAAAGAAATGACTCAATGAAAAATGTATCCACATAGGAAGAATGCGTATCACAGATAAAATAGATATGCATGAGAACAAGACAAAAGACACGATCATCAGAAAGATGCACAAAATCGAAGAACGGGACACTAATATTAGAGAAAGAGACTACTACAGAGATAGAGATAATACATTAGAGAATTCTTCCACGACGAAAGAGGAAAACTGGCAATATACAGAAATACCGAATGACAAGAAATATTAAAAATCTCAGGTGAAATCAGCACTGGTCAAATTGAACAGAAACAAAGCAGCAGGGCCAGGTGGAATTTTAATAGAGATACAACTAACCTTAGATGGTTCCGGCATTGATTAGATTACAGATATAACAGATAATATACACAACAGTGGCGATATATCGGAAGACCTATGTATGCATGTATACGGATAGAAAATGAATGCTGTAAATATACAAAAACAGAAAGTGTTGTAAGACAAGGAGGTGTCTTCTCACCGGACTTATTCAACCTAAACTGTGAAATTATTCTGTGAGAATTATAAATCCTACCACGATTCATTATTTGTGGCTACCGTCTTACCTACATAAATATGCATATGACACTGTGTTTATAGCAGATGTAGAAAGGGAACTGCAAGAATTCCCACAGAAGGTAATGAAAGAAACTGAGGAGAAAAGATTAAATATCAATTGCAAGAAGAGAGTTTCTATGGTTGTTAGCAAAAGGAACAGCCCAACAGGCAACTTACAAATTGGGGATACCTAACTTAAAGAAGTAAAAGAATTTAAATATCTGGGAATTGTTTTAACATAAGACTGAAAGTGAAAAACTGAAGTCCAAAGGAGTATTGTGGTAGGTAAATACGCCTTTCAAAAGCTAAGCAATGTATTAAGAAACAGGAAAATATCGTTAGAAAAAAGAAAAAAAAAAGAAAAAGAAAAGTGTCCTAAACTATATAGTAGTGAATGGTGGACAGTCTCCTGACAGATGAAAAAAAAAACTTAAAGCAACAGAAATAAGCTTCTACAGAAGGATGCTGAGAATACCATGGACCGGATATGTAAGCAACGGAGAGGTTTTAGAGAAAATGGAAACAAAAAAGGGCATCAGAAAGAGATACTTGAAATTCTAAGGCAGATAATGATGAAAGAATGCTTGGAAAATTTGATACGCACAGGACAGACTGAAGACAAGGGGTACATAGGGAAAAACGCGTAACCTACATAGCGAGCTTGAGTAAATGGATTTTTGAACAAGGTTTAGGAAAGTCAACAAAAGGATAAAATTTATTAAGTGCTACAAATGACAGGAAATTGTAGACATGCTCGCCAAAATCCTGATGGAACACGGCACGTAGAAGATATTTTAAACAGCCTTCTGTAGAAAAGCCGTCCGGTTGGTACCAGTCTTCTCTTAGTCTGTGAGGAAATTGTCCAGCATTCACTGGCATGTAAGAGGATTGATATGAACAGTTGAGTGCTCTTTTATTTCTTTCTATTGACATTTTACTATTTTTTAGTAATTTTTTTAGATTTTTCGAGGTGTTTTTCAATTCCAATGAGACTTCGGATTTCCGTGTAACATTTTCCAACCTCTGTTAAAACATTTAGCGCTCTGGAGGTGACTATTTCGCCAAACAACATGTTAGTCTTGTCAATACAAGTTGAATTTGAATTACTTAATTCTTTTATGGCAACACCTAAAACATTCTTGACTGAAAGTGATTGCCAGGTTACTGGATTTCAAATATAAAGAACTAATATATAAAACACTATATTTTGCCGGGATTCCATATAAAGTAAAAGAGGAAGTAATATTTATAAATGACGCAGTGTCTTAAATAATAAAAACACTTTCCCACTATACGTGTTTAATTTTAACTTCCCCAATCCGTAGTTTGGATTTTGGCCTATTTCTCTTGCTGACAATAACAAATTCTTAAAATGGCTATTTCTTTCTCGTTTTCCTTCACTAACTTGTCTAGGAGGTCTTGTAGATTTCCTTCCATGTCTGCCATTAACACAGTGCCGTCCATGTATCTTGTTTACAGAAAGTAATGAAAAATTCACCTGGAATGGAAAAAATCGACAAAAGCAAAAGTTGTTACACGAGTCGGTCTCGCTAATATGACAGCAAGAGGACTTTGCCAAGCTCAGTCGGCCGGGTTCGGCGCCTCCTGTTGCGAAGGGAGTCCGCGGTCGATGCTCCATGTGTGAGCGCGCCGCGGACGGGACGGCGACGCGCAACCGTCACTCGTCCGCCGGGAAAAAAAAACCCGACTATCTTCTAACTTTTTCAAGTGTTTTTGTTCGTAACTCATAATTTACTAGGGTAATACGTGATGAAAATTCGTGAAAACACGATAGGGAAATACCTGAAGACAATACGAGAATTTTGTTCTTTAGAAACAGCGTTTAATTTCAATTAGCCAGATCCAGTTGAATCTCATATCCACCGTATGTCGACTTTGCCTTCTACTTAAATAAATCAAACAACACGGTTTAGTTTTACCCTGAATATTTCTTTGCCGTCTCCACCTGCTTGTGCCTAGCTTCTTTTAAAAGTGTCCAATAGACATTCAGGCTCGTGACCAGAAGTATTGATGGTGAATATGATGCCTTCCTTCTATTTACAAAAGCACACGTGATGTGCAGCGATATGCCCTCGTCTCTTAACGAGTGAAGGCTGATAAACAGGCTACAAATATTGCTGTTCGATTAGTTCGAGATATGAAAACGTTTTGCGCATGCGTACGAAGTATTTGTTTTTCTGAATGGGTGTAAGAATCATTTCGTTCACGTTTAACAAACACGTGCAGTTTTAGCACAGATTTATTGCCTGTGTCTGGATACAGGCTCGCGTGAATGTGTGTATACGTGTGTCTGTGTGTGTGTGTGTATATTGCAAGATATATATATATATATATATATATATATAGAGAGAGAGAGAAAGAGAGAGACAGAGAGAGAGAGAGAGACAGAGAGAGAGACAGAGAGAGAGAGAGAGAACTATACGGTCAGTATTAATGCTCGTTGTGTTATCACACTCATTGTATGAATTAGTTCTAGATGGAAATCAAGTGACAGCAAGTCTTACCACAATTCCAGAAGCCTGCTCAGTATTTCTCGACTGTAGACTAGATCGTCGAGCCAATGCGCACAATCCTTTTCTTTAGCTGTATATTATGTGCTTCGCCAGGGCTACAAAAGGTTTTGAATTTAGTTTTCCTTCCCTTAGACAGGTTGTTACCCAAGGCTACAGAACCCAGTCTATTATTATTTTTATTTTAGCTGAAGAGAGAATGTAACGAACTCGACGCTCCGATTCCTCAATCCGAACCCCAGTCCATTACTCTACTGTGCCTGAAAATTTCTTCTTCTTCTTCTTCTTATTATTATTATTATTAAGTGTACGTAGATTAATATTTTGCGAAGTAGTTATTTACGCACAAGCGCCCCGTATAAGAAATTACGTATCTACAATGATTAATATTTGTGCTTTAAAGCTCCGTAAATTTCAAAATTTGTTATTCCAAAATACGCTTGAGGATGAAACAGAACTAGGTGCTTTAATTTAAGTTAATTTCTATAATTAAATTGAAGTTTTTAGCTTCTGTTTTTTAAACATGAGATCTCTTATGTAGCGATGGAATCATATTTTAAAAAAAAATAATTATAATATAGGCTCTACTTGTGTATTGAGCACAGTTTTTTTTTTTAAAATAAAACAAAAATACTAAAGAACTTCGGATTATTAACCTAACGGTTTTTACCTATTTTTCTATATATTTGCACAAAATTAAAAACATTAAATTATTAAAAATATTAAATTTAAACATTTTGAAAACCTAACGATATTCTTTACTTCTGTTTATAAATACATTTTACTAAATAAAATCTTTACATTTGCCTTTACATTCAGAGGAGAAAACGCGTCGTTAAGTAGCATTCTATTCATATATATATATTATGAAATGGATTAAGTCTGGCAACGGTTTAATATATTTTCTGTTTTATATTCTTATTCAAACAGTATTAATCACAACCTGAATGTTCGAGAAATTTCGTAGAAAATATGCACTTTTCTGACAGGAATCGAACCTGTAACATTTATGAGAACCGTCATATAGACTGACGTACCGTTACTATTCAGCCACAGACAAGCATCTTGATTAGCAAAGTCCATATTACTGTTTGTAAAGACAGGCCTTCGAGGATTTTTCTCGATCGATCATTGCCCACGAAAAATCTAAAAATAACGTATAAACAATAATTTTCGAACTTAATCTATTTCATAATACGTTGTCATTGTTTGTATTAAGATATGTTTTGTGAGCAGAAATGATCGATCGGGAAAAATCGTTCAGGCCGGTAAATGTATTTATTACAGTTTAATTAAAAACAGAGATTTTACGTAAATAAATTATATCTATAAAATAACATATAAACAGAATATATATATATATATGTGAAAGTGTATATAAATATAAATAAATATATATATGTATAATTATTTATATATTATATGCGCGGTACTTATTAGAAAGCGCTCAATATCAGAGATAGAGCTAACATATTTGGTTGGATAGATGTGAGTTTGTGACCCTGGGTTTCACGCTTTAGCGATCGTACGATCGCTAAAGCGTGAAACCCAGGGTCACAAACTCACATCTATCCAACCAATATATATATATATATATATATATATATATATATATATATATATAATTTCTATATATATTGTATATATGCGTGGTGCTTATTGGTAAGCGCTCAATATCAGTGATAGAGCTAACGTATTGAGTTGAATGGATATGAATTTGTAACCTAGGCTTCACGCTTATGTAATCCTCAGACAAACTCAGAATCACGTAAGCGTGAAAGCCAGGGTTATAAACTCATATCCATTCAACGTAATATATATATATATATATATATATATATATATATATATATATAAGAGGAAGAGTGCTCAATATCCCGGATAATAAATAATTGCTTGTATCCGAGTATGCCTGTCTATATAGCCAATCCCTGTTGCAGCTGCCTGCTCAGGCGCATTTGTGTTGGTTCAAATCCCTCAGCGCCTACCTGTGTTTTATAGTGCAACTAAGCAGATCTTAGTCAGAGTTTCTTAAATTGAGCATATTATCTCGTGTGATCAACAGTCTGAACAAGGTCAGTTACGCTCAAATCCGCGATCCCGATGGTTCGTGACGGCGTTCTAGCACAATCATAGATGTCTCCCAAATAGTAGACACCAAATTTCCCTCACGAGGCGTAGGCCAACCCGTGCTGTAGTTTTCAACACTTTCCAAAGTTGCCGCACGCCGGGATCGCCTCACCCCCGGCCGATAACACCAAGATGTCACCTTTCTGACAAATGGACCATGGTGTGTTTCGAACCCGGGTCTTATTGGAAAGCGAACGTTCTAAACACTATGACACGGAGATAGACCGTAAAGATCAAGTGTAAAAACAGTGTAGACATAGAAATCAGAACTGGATGCTAAATGGTCGTGCCATGCTTTACGCGCTGATCAGACCATTTAGTAAACGTTTTATATATATATATATATATATATATATATATATATATATATATATATATATATATATATATATATAGTATTTTTACATCGCTACACAAATATATATAAATAAATATATATCTATATGTATTTATTATAATATTTTACATCCTTTACACAAATATATATGTATATATATATAATTTATTTTCTGTTTATATTATTTTAATAGATACAATTTATTTAAGTAAATTTTCTTTTCCTCGATGTTTCTCAGTTTCTTGATGTTACGATGAAATTCATATATATATATATATATATATATATATATAATTTACATTCTGTTTATATTATTTTAATAGATACAATTTATTTAGGTAAATGTTCTTTTCTTTGATGTTTCTCAGTATCTTAACGTTAAGATGAAATTCATCAAGGAAGGCGCCGTAGTTTTTACTAGTACTTTACCCGATTAATTTACCCGAGTACCTTTACCCGAGTTCTTTACTCGAGTACTTTCGATCTTTGTCACATATGTTGGTTTGACGACCACAACATTATCAAGATGTCTTACACTTCATTTGTCGGATAGAAGTTATATTGCACAACATATAGAAACATATTCCACTTAACCTTGACAATAAAGGAAAATATTTATTAACAACAGTACAGCAAGAAAATAATAACTAAAAGATTCAAATACTCGAGGCTCTCCATATCAAAATCAACCAGCCAACACTCACCAAAAGATATTACAAGCGTAACAGCAACGTATTGAAGTGAATATACCAAATATTTAACGCCATTTTGCATTTCTGCTAATTTCCGGTCAGCTCCCTTATATTGAAACGCTTGTTTTGCAAAAGTTTCCATAACTGCAACGGATAAATTAATTTAAAAAAAAAAAAAACTATAGCAGAGTGCGTTTGTGCGTGCTTTTTAAAAATCATAATCACAACGGAATGCAGATTTTATCGTAGTTACAATAAGTTTGTCTTTGTAATTTACCCCTGAAGATGATCTTAGAAAAGATCGAAAGTACTTGGGTTAAAAAAAAAAAAAAATATGTACGTTCCTTGATGAACGTTAAGATTTCATCTTAACATCAAGAAACTGATTAGAAAACCGGAGAAGATCAGTGTAAAAATATTGACAGAATATGTACATATGATTCAATGAACAATGTTTGAATGAAGATATGCTGCCTAAACATATATACATATACAAACACACACACATATACACATATCTATCTATCTATCTATTGTATGTGTATTCTTATGTGTTTCTTCCTATTCGCGTATATATATTTATGTACCCAGAAGGAAAATCCTCGAGAGTGCCGCCATTGAATATTACCTAAATATTAATCTACGCCCAGGCTTTTTCCCTATTTCATCTTTATTAACAGAATTACTTCTCTTCCAAACAAACGTACAGAACATTATCAAGAAATCCCCCCCAAAAATGGTTGAATCCGTCAATACAGCAATAAAAACAATATCTCCACACGTGAGAGTAAACAACGTAATTTCAGTTGGCAGTATGAAAATAGAGTTCTCTAAATTCTTCCATTTGCTAAGGACATTTAGTTTTGTTATTATTAGTTACTTCGTTTAATAAATTAATTTCGTTTAGCCTTGAGAAAGTCCACATCGGACGAAACGCGTTGGCAACTATTACAGTTTTCCATTGTCTTTTACATTTATAAATATTGTCTTTTTCTACAGGTTAACTTTGAGAAATCTTTCATATTTATGGACGTAAAGTGTTACGCAAAATTTGGAAATCCCTCACAAGAATTTGGAAATCCCTCACAAGAATTTGGAAATCCCTCACAAGAATTAATAAAACAAATCGCATGGTTTTCCAAACCCTCTTTCCTTATTACGCGCACGAGAAATTTCATCTGTGTTTCTGATTTTATGTGTAAGTGGCCCTATTCTCATTTTATCCAACACTTCATTATTACTTGCATGATTAGTCCGTAGTATTCTCAATATCCTTCTGTAGAACCATATTTCTGTTACCTCACGTCACATCTCAAACTGTGTTGTATGGTTGTCAGCAAAACGGACACCCCAATATGCAAATTACAAATCGGAGATACCAAAATAAAGCAAGTACAAATGTTTTAAATATCTGGAAGTGTTTTGACAGAGGACGGAAAAAGCGACACCAAAATTGGATAGGCGTATTGGGGTAGTGAAAGATGCTTTGCAAAAGCTAAGCAAAGTATTAAGAAACAGGAAAATTTAGTTAGGAAAGAGTATTGAACTGTTATGTCATATCAGTCTTCCTATTTTATAGCGTGACAACGCCTATTTGTTTTTTCGTTTAATTTAGTTTGGTTTATTTTGTTTTACGGCATATCAACTTCAATAGGTTATTTAATGCCAACAAGATTTTTAGAATAGGTCCGTATGAATAGAATATGTATTATTTGTAAGAAATCAGTTTGGAGGAAATCAGGTTTCATTGAGGTATATTTCTAATGAGTGTTTTTGTCGAGAGTCAAATGTATTGATAGTAATATTTTTTTTCAAAAGTTTATTGCTAGTATTTTTACTTTAAAAATGTATCTTTATATTTTTATAGTCTTTTCACCTCAGTTTGGGGGGGGGGTTAACTTTTCTCATACCTGGGACCCTAACAGGTTCTACCACCACGGGTCAGAATGGACCTGGGAACAACGCTCCTTAAAACCTTCCAATCAACGGCCTTGCTGCAGGATGTAGTTTATCGTCATACCCAGGACGTTTGTTTTGACGCGACAATATGTTTGCACAGTTTATCGTTGGTATCTTTATTACTTGTTTCAAACGATCTCTGGTGGTGATTTTCATTGGTCTAGTATTTCCTTTCAAAATATTCTGCAGATACTTTATCGGATTGACATCCAGTGAACTGATTCGGCCATAACAAAAATTTACTATCTCGATCGAGTAACCATGTCTGGAGCACGATCCTGGATAGGAAATTGAGTTATTTGCAAGACGTATACATAAGAAGTAAGATATGGCAGGGAAACAAATCTATTTCATATCGAATTACATTGTCGACGTATCTCAAATACGACTTCGCTATAACTAGAATGGACGACATTAGGAAAGAGTAAATACATAAAGCGATTTCAAGATCATGTGGAGTCGACATCAGAATGAATCTGGAATTCGTACAATACGAAGTAAAACCGATAATGTCTGGCAGTATTGTACGCTGTTGCTAAAACTTTCAGAAGTAATGGTATATGTACGTAGAACCAAGTATCCATGGACGTTACTGACTGAAAACACAAATACTATTCTAAGCTCAAATATCTATCTATCTATCTATCTATCTATCTATCTATCTCAGCCTGTATATGATAATTGACATGATAATGACACTGCTAACGGAGCGGATATGTTTGCACTGTAACAGCAGCGAGATAACTGGCGCGATCAACCACAATAGTACTAACTATAAGCACGCATGAGCAGAAGGCAGTGCAACAAACGTAAATATATATTGTGCCGACAGTGCGATTAATTTTTTAGTTACCCTCGTATAAATATATATCGCGGTTATACGCAGGGGGACATAGAAATACGTGTGTTGGCCTCCAGGGCTGCATTTAACCCAATGGGGATATTGACCCCATTTCTTTGATAGGGTATCCGTCCATGAAAAGGAAAACTATGATATCAGTTGAAATGCGGATATCTCGCCTATGCCTATGGCTGGGATTCTTAGCGCTGTTGGTGTGAATCATTTCGGTGGTGTGCAAATTGTGTAAAACTAAAATGCCAGCACGGTTCACCTCTTAACATCTATTGTTGCTCTGGTTTGTGAAGTCCAGTGGCGATGGGGAAGTGGCGACGTGTATGGATCTGACAACATGGGAGCTTGAAGCTCCTGACATTGGCAGCCTTTGGTAGATATAAAGTCGTTCGATTATCTATGGATGCAGAGGTTGGATACGATGATTCAGCAGATCTGTTTACGTGGTACATTGCTCACCGGATATCTGATGGGCTCTAGAAAAGTTGACCTAAACATTGGCTGTTTCATTAATTGAGTTGTTTTATTTTAATCATTTCACCCCAGGAAAAGCAGTAAATACTCTAAGTCACAAGGGTTTAACAAATGTGAAGAAAATAAGAAAGGGAAACGTTATTAAAGGGCGGGAAGAGTGTGAAAGAATGTAATCAAGAAGACAGAAGATAATTGTTATGGTCCAGGGCCCTGTACCACGGTGATGGTCCAAGGGTAACCAATAAAGAAGAACTCGAACACGGATATGGAATAACACAGATATATTACAAACAGGAATATATACAGAGAAGTAGACAGTGTTAGTACGAACAATCAGGTTTAATAGGGAGAACAATGTAGTCTCGACCAGTATCACTATTCAAATGTCTTGTAGTAATTGTCTGAACGCGACTCTGTTTCGGACTGCCTCTGACTCGACTGACTGACTCGCTCTGACTGACTGACTCCTGACGGACTTCTGACGGACCTCACTCCAGACTTCAGACTGAACGGTATTTAGTCACCCCACCACGAGGGTATCATGTGGCACAAGGTCGGTTTAACGTGGGATCTCCGAGCCCGTGGGCTCGGCCAAAAATATGCCCTTTGAACCCGTATAAACGGATCCAGGGTCGGTTTACCTCCCCAAAAGAGACTCCGCCCTTCGGCGTAGCTTCGTTCGGGTTCCTCCCCGCCCGAAGGCAGAGCATTCAACCGATCAGCCGGTCGCCCGACTTCGGACTGAACTCTCTGCTTCCTCTTGAGGAGCAGTATTTATTACGTATGGAATAGTCCGTTATGTTATTATGGGTAAGGCCCCATAACAATAATGCTTTACATCGAATTTAAATTTTTGAAGATAGCTAGAAAGCATAGAGCCGAAAGAGAATTCAACAAGAGAGAAATATGGGAGAAGAAACTGTTAGCATAGAACTTACGGTTGCATCTAGCCAACTGAACTGTAAATTAGTGAGACCTCATTGACAGTCTAGTACTGCGCTTGAATACATAAAGTCTAAATACCGTAGCGGAAAGTTCATCCAAACAGCTACAACGAATATATCTATAGAAAAGACACAAGGAAAGTCCATCATAACGGTAGGAAAGTGGCTAAAAACGTGATGCCAGGTCAGGACCAATAATATTGCGATTTCTTCTTTAGATTTTTTCTCGGATGTTCAAAGCATGATAAACCTATAAATATGTAAGACAGATTCTGATGAGAAAAAAATGTCTAGAAGGACAGACTTAACTTACTTTCTTAGCAGCATATTTGGCAATTGATTCAATATAATCTTTGCACTTTACGTCAGCCGGGAACATTAGCCTGAGAAGGTGCAATGAGTCACTCGTTTGGAGGTTAGCATCAGCCATGATGATGGAATATAGAAAGGGCTCTCTCAAATGATTAATACATATATTCTGTTTTGGAGGTGTTAAAATTAACTAACCATTCCTTGCTTCAGTAAACAGCTGACTGTAGGTCACTTTATAGATTAGCTGCCAAATGACCTTGTCGAACCGCTCAGACTTACGAGTGAGACAATCCAAGCCGCTATTTATTACTCTGCCGTATATGTTTTTAATGGAACGCTGTTTTATTGGCCATGTTAGAACTGTCATATACTGCTATATGCTGTCCCATCAATAAGTTGGAGAATTGTGTTATTAATGACAGGATGATTACTAAGCACGGAAAATAGACATGAAAATCTTCGGAAGAAAATAGTCTGTCTTTGTTTTCATAGCCTTTCGGTCGATAAGTAGGAGACGAGGTGTTGCCATTTTGTCAGCGGAAATCTCTAGCGGGAACGTCAAGCAATCTCTCTTCCCTACAAGAAACTTTGTAGGTGGCGCTGTGAACGCATTTCAGTGTTCAATGATTTTAAACTGACAATCACAGTGGTAAATCATCCACTTTTTCTACTACTGCATTTTTCTTTTCTTGACATTTAATTTCAAAAGAGGAAAAGAGGATGAGGGATTACAGAGAAAGAGAATCAGGAGAAGAGATAGAAAGTGGGAAGGAGAGAGAGAGAGAGAGAGAGAGAGAGAGAGAGATGTGAAAAGAAAGAGGAGACAGAGAGAAGATAAAGAGAGTGAATGAGAGGAAATTAGGAAAAGGCAAGATATGGGTATTAAAAGGGGAAAAAAGCACACAGTTATTTGAGTGAGATGAAGAGAGATGCACCCCTCCCATATATATATATATATATATATATATATATATATATATATATATGTGTGTGTGTATGTATGTATTGTGTATTGAGGCAGTAAATGTTCTTTAAGGTAAATGTTTTGCGTCCATCAATTTTATCGGCTTTTACAAATTACGAATAATACTTCACAGATAAGGAGGAAATTCCGTCAGAAATTGTCCAAAGTTCATTTTGGAAACTCACGATTTTTCTCTACCTACTCTGATGATGACTTAACAAGGTCGAAAGCTTGTACCATATTTCTTCTAAAATGACCTTTGGACAATTTCTGAGGGAACTTATCTGAGAAGTCGATAAATAAAATTAATCAACACAAAATGTTGTTGTTTTCAATAACATAGAGAGAGAGAGAGAGAGAGAGAGAGAGAGAGAGAGTTAGAGAGAGAGAAAGAAAGAAAGTGAGAGAGAGAAAAAAAGAAAGAGAGAAAGAAAGAGAGAGCAAGAGAGAGAGAGAGAGAGAGAGTAAGAAAGAAAAAGAGAGAGAAAGAAAGAGAGTGAAATTAGACTTCAGAAAATCCAACCCAGTTTTAAAGAAACGAAAGCGTTCGTCTATTAATTAGTGCAAAATTTCACGTGGGTTTATTTCTGGGCATGACGCTAAACTACATCCGGTAGCAAGGAGATTGGAGGTTTTGTCGTGCATAGGACCACCTCTTAATTGCTGTTGTTCCCAGGTCCACCTTAACCCGGGGAGGTAGCACATGTTAGACCCCCATCTAAGGGCAAATAGCGAACTGCCAGATAAAAACAAGAGACTATGAGAGTATAAAAATAAATTTTTATGGTAAAAATACCAGGAATACATTTTTTTTATATAGAAAGACAAAATACACATTTATAGTATATTACCAACAATATATTTTATAGAAAATTACCAACAATATATTTTATAGAAAATTACCAACAATATATTTTATAGAAAATTACCAACAATACATTTACCTGTAGTTGAAGGCATACAATTGCGTTTTAAATATATTTTGTTGAAGCCATAAAATTCTGTTCAAAATATTTAGATTTCGTCATCAAATAACCCATAGAGGTGTTGATATGCCGCTAAACAAAATCAACTAACTAACCAATCCTCTAGCATTTATTAAATTGGGAAAGTAGAATAGTGTATATCATGTTTTTATTACCTCATAGGCTCCCACGAAAATTAACTTTCGATATTAAATGAAAAATTAAGTTTCGATATGCCGTTAAACAAATAAATAAGTAAATAAATCAATCACCAGTCACAATTGTTGGATGTTTCCCTCATCAGTTCAATTTATAAATTATACAAACCTGCACAAGCCAGGTTGTCGCATAGGTGAGATATCTTTGATGCCCGTGTTCAAGCCAAGCTCAAAAGCTAATCTGTGTGAAGCTGATTTTTCGAGGTCGCTAAGCACTCCCTATATGAATGAATAGTGCAACACGGTTTTCTTATATCTTCGTCTTCTCTAATTTCCCTTTGTAGAACAACTTAATAAAGTTGTTTATTATTGCTTCTACCTGCGGGATATACGGCCGTAAACACACCCAGAATAGTTGCCCAGGTTTCAGTATCAAGCGAAAATTTTATGAGTCCGCTGAGTTTGTCCGAGGCCAGTTTTGAAATGCCTTACAAGGATAAATGGTTCTAGATACATAAAGTGATGGGAGAAGTGAACTGATGCATTTTGAAGCGCATTAGTGCGGTTAGTGTTCAGGCGAGAATCTTGCGAGCCGAGTTCGAATTCCGACCGTGTCCTTTTCATTCACTTTTGCACAATACACTTGGGAATGATATGAATCCCGCCACCTGTGGATTCAATAGCAAGACAGCCATGTTTGGCAAACAATGTAGGTTGATTTCCCAGACCTCAAGTGGAATTCAGATATACGATCTGTTGTATTCATATGCAAATCTCCACTTCGTAAATAGTGGTTGGTATTGCAGGAGGCTTGACGACGAAACTAAAAGAGAAATATTAGTGTATATAAATAAGTTCAAAGCATTCGCTACTATTTCCCGAGGAGTTTCAGCTTCCAGTATTTACCAGATGTGACACAAGGTCGCGTGAGTTTAACTGCCATACCGCGCCAAAATCTTCAATCCATCTCGGCACTTCACATTTTGGGGACGCCTCTGGAACTGGCCA